CCTCAATGTGGGATTGGGGGGGTTCTCGAAAACCCCTCCCTCACCTTGGCGGTCACTTTGTACTCAGTGTAGCCTTTGGGGTGGGTTCGGGTGTCGGTGACGGTGTAATGCCGGTGGTACTCATCCTTCGCCCGACGGGACATCCCGACGCCCTTTTGGGCGATGCGGCCCCTTTAAATCCAGAACTCCCCGCGTAGCCAGCAGCGGCCAAAGGCAGCAGAGCGATGGGCTATCCGAGTCGCGACTGCGCGTCCAGCCCTACACTCAAAGCGCATGCGTAGCTGATGGCTTCACGGCCTTGAGACCAGGGCGGAGGGAGTGTCTGCAAAGTGCGACGCTGCGGCTATTCAGGAAAGCTTAGGGGCAGGACTCCTCTGCAAAGGGCTGGATTTAGTATTGCACTGCAGTGAGGGGAAAATGAGGAATTCATCAGGATATTGCGTGTGATGCAAAAACGAGGAATGGTGGAGTTAATCAGGATATTGCGTAAAGCGCATAACTTGAGCTAGGGCCCCGTGTTCATATAGAATATGCACCTTGTTTTTACAACCCCAGAACGCAACCCTCTAGCACAGATCCGGACGGAGTGCTAACAACGCGCAGTCCCGGCCGAAGCATAATAACTCAGAAGTAATTGGTGTTTAGTCATGGCGGCCACATGACCACGGAAACGTCTTCGGACAGCGCTGGCTCTTCGGCTTTGAAACGGAGATGAGCACCGCAACCCTAGAGTCGGATTCGACTGGCTTTCGAGCAAGGGCACCTTTACCTTTAACTAAGTCCCACTGAATGCAAATAGGGCCTGCTGTCTTGCAAGTGTCTTGAGGCTGACAATCTGGAATAGAAACATGCTTCCCGTCAGCCATGCTACCCAGGATCTCTGGCTCTGCTCTTCTCTTCTTGATAGTTCCACCCCTTTCTCTGTTCTCTGCTGCCCTGGAGGATAGGCTTGGGAAAGGTTGGGTTAGTTCGTCAGGGCAGCCAGGTTATTGGTGTAGTGTTGCTGTTTAACTTGACTTTTTTAAAATAGTGCCAATAAAGTTGGGGAAGGCATGTGCAGATGTTTAGAGGAGCTCTCTGAGAGCATGCAGAGTTCTTTTGCCGCACCCTTCAGTTACTTCAAGACGGAGTCCAACGCGCACCTTGTTCAATTTTGTACAATGGGAGAAAAACAACACAGTTTTTGTGCAGCGGGGCATGTGGAATTTAACCAGGAGCAAAGATGTTCCTTGAAATTATATAATGAGGGAGAAAGGGAATAAAAAAGACATCATTATTGGAAATGAATAGTGTCTTCCTTCCCTGGTTCTCTCCTCCCTTCCTTGCTTTTGGTTAGAAATAATATGGTGCACGTGATCACATATAGCGGAGGGGCTGGTTTTCTGGCTGCTGAGCTGGGGGAGCTTAGAATAAAGCCTGCCACAGCCTTCCACGGATCTAGGGTCACATGCAAGCACGCCCAGTGCGCTGAGCCAGCTTAAGTCCCAGCTCTGCTCCTGTTAGAAATTCAGGCCTCTTGCCTTGGTTGTGGCTTGCAAAAGAGTGGGGGATCTATTTACTTCATTTATACCCACCTTCCTCCCCAGTGGGAAGCCTGAGCTGTTTCCCTCCTTCTCCTCCATTTTATCCTCACAACTACCCTGTGAGGTTGTTGTAGGGCTGCCAGCTCTAGGTTGGGAAATACTTGGAGATTCTGGGGGTGGAGCTTGGGGAGGGTGGGCTTTGGGGAGGGAAGGGGAGGGATCTCAGCAGGATATAATGCCATAGAGTCCACCCTCCAAAGCAGCCATTTTCTCCAGGGGAACTGATCTCTGTAGTCTGGAGATCAATTGTAATAGCAGGAGACCTCCAGGCACCATCTGGAGGTTGGCAACCCTGGGTTGTTGTGAGAGTGACTGTTCTAAGGCCACCCTGCAAGCTCCTATGGCAGAGTAGGGATTTGAACCCAGTGATCCCAGGCCTGAGTCTGACACTTAACCACTACACCATGCTGGCATAAAGTCATGGGGGTGCAAGGAAATGCTTAAGCCAAGTAAACAAGAAGCATAGGAAGGAACAAAGTTTGCAAGCTCCAAACAAAAGCGATGTGCAGAACTTCGAACACAAGCATGGCAACGGCTGAGTGGGTTGTAGGCGGCCTTTTGCAGCAGCTGTCCACCTCAGCACAGTGATTCTCAAACTAAGTCAAGTGGGTCACAACCCTCTGTCAGGCGGATCATGGTTTAAAGCTCGTGAGGGGGGAGAGGAGGCTCAGAACCTCCACCACCCCCCATCCCTGTGGTGGGAAAAGGGAGGACAGAGCAGCCACGTTTCCACCCCATCCTTCAGCTGACACCCCCATGAGTTCTCAGGGGATCAGCTCACTCCCAGCCACCAGCCACGTGGAAGGTGATGGACGTACTCGATGCCCATGGCCTCCTGAACCCACACTGTCTGAGGCACGGCAATGGTGGATTCTGAAATAGTGTGTTTAGAAGTAGGTCCTACTTCAAAAATAATTTTAACTCAATGGTTCTCTGAATAAGTTGAATAGGACCATAGGACTCATCATCATCTCCCCACCATACACACGCACACACACGACAAAAAATATATATCCAAAGTTTGTGAGTAGTGGCCCAGGCTAGCCCGATCTCTTCAGATCTCAGATGCTAAGCAGGGTTGGCCCCAGTGAGGAAGTCCAGGGTTGCTACACAGAGACAGGCAATGGCAAACCACCTTTGAATTTCTCTTGCCTTGAAAACCCTCACTAGGTCATCAAAAGCCAGCTGCGAGTTGACATCAACGAAAGAGAGAAGCTCTTATGGACCAGCTAATATTTGAAATGCAGAAACAGAACTTGGGAAACCATCGCCTTGCTGGATCTCTGCTCTAACTGGTAGCACTTCTCCAGGGGCTCAGGCAGAGGTTTTCCACATCACCTGCTACCTGATCCTCATAGCTAGAAACTAAACTTGGGTGTTTTTCAATGCAGGGCTCTTGCCCCTGAACCCATAGTCACCACCAAAAGTCGTCTCATCCAGCATCCTGTTTCCAAGATGGATCTGCAAGTTGCCTCTGAAAACTTACATGCAGGTAATGAAACCAAGAACCAGATCTTCTTGTTTGCGCCCAAGAATCCAATAAATAAGGCAAAGGTACGCTGTCTCTAAACCTGGAGGGTCCATCTAGATTGGGGTTCCCAACATGGTGCTTGTGGGTACCGTGGCGCCCACCAAGTATTTTTTAGAAAGTGGACGGGGCCAGGTGGGGCTTCTGCCCAGCAGGGCATCTCAGTAGCCATTGGAGATGTGATTGGCTGTGCAGATTAAAATAACAGCTGCCGCCAGCCCCCACAGTGTCGGTTTTATCCTCTCTCTCCTCTCTCCCAGTGCATTTTTAAAATTACCCGTCTTCTCCTCCACACATGAGCTTCCTCTGTGCCATTCCACCTCCTGCAGCAGCCATTTTGTGATTGATTCCACCTGCTGCATCAGAATTCCAGAGGGGCCCACAGACTCTAAAAAGGTGGTGGACCCCTAATCTAGATAATAAGGATGCAGGGATTTTAGTTTCAATCTTTCTTGCGACTGGACAAGACTGAAAACACAGTCATGGGCCTTTGTGGAGTCAATTTTGCTGTTATCCCATGCCTGTGGCCTTTTGACGAGCGGGAGATCAGAAATCAGCAGATGCTTGAAGCACAGTCACATGTAGCTCAAGAACACAAACCCTGCCTTTCAAATACCAGTTGGTCCAAACAAACATCTCAGCTTATTTGCTTTGACCCTTATTCTGGGAGATCAATACAGCTCCTGAAGCACCCCTACCTATATAGGTCTATAATTAACTGAACCGTTGGTCTATCCATCCTAGTATTGTACCCTCTGATTCAGAGAGACTCTCCAGGGTCTCAGGTAAAGGAAAGGTTTTCTCAGCACCAACTACTTGGAATCTTTGAATTGGAGATGCTGGGGGTTGAGCCTAGGGCTTTCTATCTGCAAATCAGGTGCTCCCCTTAAAGCCACGGTCCACTGCCTGCCCAGGCTTTTCTTGAAAACATCCAGAGAGGACACTCCACGGCCTCTTTTGCTAGCAGCCTCTTCCACAGATAAACCACTCACAGAAGTAGGATGATTTCTCCACCTAGCCACTCAGAAGCACTCTGGTGGAGTGGCTAAGACTCAGAACCCTGCTTAGACATTAAGTTCACTAGATGAACTTGGACTAGTTCATCTGAGCCACCTCACAGAATTGTGGAGACAGAAGCAGGGAGAGCCATGTATACCTTGGAAGGGATAGCTAGACTGGAATCTGCTTGCCTTCTCATATTGCAAACCTAGAGATTCTACTGCAGTTCAACCCTAACTAGATTGATGAAGGATCACAGCCCATTCTTAGCAGCACCTGTAGTTTATACTCTGTAAATCCTTGCCAGGCTTCCATTTACCTCAAGCATGTTGTCTGCCAGCCCTGAAATAAAGTAGGAAGTTCACAGAGGTGGTGCTAAAAAGTGCTGTCAAGTCGCAGGCAACTTATGGCAACCCTGTAGGTCTTTCAAGGCAAGAGAAATTCAGAGGTGGTTTACCACAGTCTTCCTCTGCATAGTGACTCTGGTATTCCTTGGCGGTTTCCCATCCAAATACTAACCAGGGGCCGACCCTGGTTAGCTTCTGATATCTGATGAGATCAGGCTAGCAACTGACCCTACTCAAGAAAAGTGGTTTGCATCAGCCCAACTCTACACCAGCCCAAGAAGATTGGATTTATACCCCGCCCTTCACTCAGAGACTCAGAGCGGTTTACAATCTTCCTTTCCTCTCCCAACAACAAACACCCTATTAAGTAAATGGGGCTGAGAGAGCTCTGAGAGAACTGCTCTTGAGAGAACAGCTCTGAGAGAACTGTGACTGGCCCAAGGTCACCCAGCTGGCTGCATGTGGAGAAGTGGGGAATCAAACCCGGTTCTCCCAGATTAGAACCTACACACATAACCACTACACCAAACTGGTGTAGAGGGTGGTGGCCAGGGAAGAAGGAAGAAAAGGCCTCTACAGTTATTAAACAAACACCTTTGAATCACAGCAGCAGCTTTATTAAGATATACATTGGACACAATTCCATACAGAGAACAGGGAGAAGGGAGCCTCTTCCCCCCGCCCCCAGCATCCCCTGTCACTGTTCCGTCGCAGGCAAGACCTGTCTGAGGACCACGCTCAGCAGAAACAGTCCCTGCCCCAGACTTCAATCTGGCAGATTCGTCACAAAGGCGAGACCTCATCCCAGGTCAGAGGGCAGGACCAGCCGTCTGAGTGGCCCGGGAATGGAAATGGAGTCCGAGTCCCCAGCTACACATGTGCATGGGGGTGGTGGGGTACACCTGCCCCCACGGCCACTCAGTCCGCTGTGAATATCCGGCTGGCGATGTCATCCAGTAGCCAGTCGATGCCTGCCAGCAAATTCTCTCCAGTGTAAGCGCTGCAGCCTTGGATACACCAGTGGTGGGTCTGGATGCTGTCGAGGTCCAAAGCCTAGAAAAGGTAGAAGAATCAGAAAGAGGGTGAAGCCTGTGCAAGGTTCGGAGAAGGCCCAAAGAGCAGGCAGGGGCTTCACTGGGGGCCCCAAGACCAAAAACACCTTAACCCCACCACTAGCTATTTTCTAGGAACCCCAGAAGTGCTGATACCTGCGCTGCTGGAGCAGACTCAGGCCAAGGGTAAAGTGTCACCAGGGCCCCAGTTCCCACTCAGGAATTGGCTCCAGGTTCTAGAAATGCATTTAATGTGTCACGTTAATACTTATGCTTTGCTGTTTTTAGACTTCTGGTTTGGTTCTACAAACCTGAACCTATTGCATTGTTTACTGAATGTCCCATCCGTCGACTGTATTGACTCACTCTGTGAAGTCTGCCTTGAGTCCCAGAGAGAAAGATGGACTATTAAGTAAAGAAAGAAAGATTGCCAGAGCAGGAATGTATGCAGTGCTGCCCCTATCTTTACGGAATGGGCTGCCAGCTGAAAGAAGGGCTGCCTCTTCTCTCATCCAATTTAGGCAGCAATGTCAGGATGTATTTTGTGTGTGCGCGTGTTAAGTGCCATTGAGTTGCTCCCAGCCTATGGCCACCCTATGAATTAGGTAAAGGTAAAGTTTCCCTTGCTCGAAAGCCAGTCGAATCCGACTCTAGGGTTGCGGTGCTCATCTCCGTTTCAAAGCCGAAGAGCCAGCTCTGTCCGAAGACGTTTCCGTGGTCATGTGGCCGGCATGACTAAACACCAAGGCACACGGAACGCTGTTACCTTCCCACCAAAGTGGTCCCTATTTATCTACTTGCAATTTCTTGCTTTCGAACTGCTAGGTTGGCAGGAGCTGGAACTAGAGACGGGAGCTCACTCCCTCATGCGGCACCCGGGTCTCGAACTGCTGAACTACTGACCTTCCACAGCCTGCAGTTCAGCGTCTTAACCACTTGAGCCCTATGAATTAATGACCTCCAAAACGTCCTGTCATTAACAGTCTTGCTCAGGTCTTGCGAACTGAGGGCCCTTGTGGCTTCCTTGACTGAGTCCATCCATCTTATGTTGGGTCTTCCTCTTTTCCTGCTGCCTTCCACTTTTCCTTGCAGGATTGCTTTTCCCGTGACTCTTGTCTTCTCACAATGTGACCGAACTACGATAGTCTCAGTTTAGTCATTTTAGCTTCTAGAGAAAGTCCAGGCTTGATTTGATGAAGAATCCACTTATTTGTGTATTGCCTGTACTGTGCAGTAGAAAAGAGCAAGAGTCCAGGAGCACCTTAAAGGCGAACAAAATACGTGGCAGGGGATGAGCTTTCGTGAGTCACGGCTCACTTCTTCAGGTACTTCTTCAGATATCGCTACAGACAAACTAACATGGCTACCCATCTTGGTGTCTGAAGAAGTGAGCCGTGACTTACAAACACTCATCCCCTGCCACATATTTTGTTAGTCTTTAAGGTGCTACTGGACTCTTGCTCTTTTCTACTACTACACAGACTAACACGACTACCCATCCTGTATTGTGCAGACAAGCCTTTTTCTGACTTCTTAATTTGTGTCAACGTTTTTAATGGATCAAGTTTCTTGGTACCTGTCCTTTGCTCGTAGAACCATAGAGTTGGAAGGGGCCATACAGGCCATCTAGTCCAACCCCCTGCTCGATGAAGGATTAAACCTACAGCAACCCTGACAATCCCTGCTCATTTTGTTGTGTTCAGTAGCAACAAAAAGCAGCATAGGAAAGAAAAAGAACGAAAAAGAAAGCAGCTATCCATTCTCCTTCCTGCTAGCCTCCAGGAACATCCCTCCTTTCCTGAAGCTGCCCAGCCCACCCCCACCTGTGTATTGGTCCCACCCCCATGCCTCAATATGACCACTGGCTCTCACCTCTTGGATGGCACTGGGACTCAGGGCCCCTGGCAGGTCCTGCTTATTGGCAAAGATGATCAAGGTGGCTCCTGCCAAGCGCTGTTGGAGAAACAAGCAGAGAGGGGGGGAAAATGTTGTACATCCTCATTCCTTGAAGTGCTAATATGCTTCTCCCCCCCCCCCCAGTCCAGATTTGCAGCAACAGAGCCGGTGCCACCCCTACTCTGCATCTGCAGGCCTGATGGGGGGGGGGGTAAACCTACTACCAGCTGCCCTCCCCCACACAGCTCCTACCTCTTCTACCAGAAGGCTCTGCAGTTCCCGCTTGCAGTCCTCCAGACGCTGGCGGTCGGCACTGTCCACCACCCAGATGAGGCCATCCGTGCTCTCGAAGTAGTTCTTCCAGTAAGAGCGCAGGGACGTCTGGCCCCCCACATCCCAAATGTTCAGCTTGAAGCTGCAAAAGAGATGCCACGTCGGGCATGAAGGGGTTAAAAACTGGCCCTGGCGGAAAAAGAAGTTTAGTTCACTGAAGAGCAAGGTTCGGAGGCCAGCAAGATTTTTGGAAGCTTTTGAGAGTCAAAGTTCCCTTCTTCAAGATACTTGTTCAAGGGAGCTTTTGACCTGAAAATCTTGTTGGTCTCTAAAGGTGCTATTGGACTCAACTCGAGCCCTTCTACTGTAGATCCACACGGCTACCAACTGAAACTAGATCACTGGAAATAGAGAGGGGAGTGCCCAGGGTACTGCGAGGAGGAGAAATAGGAAGAGGAAGACTGAGCTAGATCCTTCTTTCCTGCACAAAGTGGCGTAGGAGAACTGGAGGGCTCACCCACGATGCTCCAGCGTCTTGATGTTGAACCCTAATGTGGGCGAGATGGTGTCAATCTCGTCCCCATTGAACTTCTTCAGGATGGTTGTCTTACCCGCATTGTCTAGGCCCCTGCAGAGAGATGGGTTAAGGAGAAAAAAGCATAGGAGAAAAAAGGAATCTACAGAGAGAGCTTTGCTTAAATTTTCTCAAAGCTGCCATAGACTGCTAAAAGCCTGTCCCATAAAACAATTGTGATTAGTCAGGCCAAGAAGTCCACATGTGCATAGAATTACTCCCTTTTTTATACAAGGAATCTTGGTCTGGCCGTGATTACTCAAAGATGAAGCACTGGTACTCTGTACATGATCAGAGTGCACAAATTCTGACATTAAAAATTACACTATTCAGAATCCAGTGGATGAACATTTTAATTTTTCAGGGTACTCTGTTGCTGCTCTAAAAGTCCCTGTCTTCTGGCAAAGCACCCATTGCAAAATCCACTAGATTTGATATTCATCCTACTTTTCTCCTCTAACAACAGTCGGGATGGACGTCACCCCTTCCAAGTGAAGTAATTACTTTTTTCATTATATCTTCTTTTAAGCACTAGACTCCTGTTCCATTTTGCTGCTACAGATTAACACAGCTGCCCAATAGATATTCCCTTTGTTACAGGTAAGGCACAGGGATACCAAACTCAAGGTAGTGGCAGGAGTTCTCAGAATTACAAATGATCTCCAGACTAGACATCAATTACCCTGCACAAAAGACTAGTTTGGAAGGACAACCTCCACAGCATCCATGCAGAGTTCCCTTCCTTCCCAATATTACAGCATCCCCAGTCACCATCCCAAATCTCTAATTATTTACCAAGCTAGAGTTTGCCCCTGTACTGCCCTTCCCCCAAATCACCTTCCTTATAATACAGCATCACCTCCAAATCTCCAGAAACTCCCAAACCAGAGTTGCCAGCCCCGATTAGGCATTCTGTACATGTACAGAGACATTTTATCCATCACACGATTACTCTGATCATAACGCCCCGCTGAATCTATGCCTTCCCGATGCAGCTCGACAGGCACGATTTTAAAGTAAGTGTTACTCTAATGACGCATCAGATGGCCGCTGCGCCCACAAATAAATAAACCGGATTAATGCGAGGACTGGAGAAGGCACGGGGAGCACCGGCCTCGCTCTCCTCCTCGCGGAAGGATACAGCATGAGCAGTCGCAGCTCGCGCTCCTTCTGGCGCATCTTCTTCAGGATGCTGAGCAGCCCCATAGTTCACGCGAGCTCGCAGCACTTCTCCCGCTGTCACGCCGGGCCTAGGGGGTGGTGGCCTAGGCTCCTCCGGCCCCGCCCCTCAGGCCTCCGCCGGAGAACTCTCAGTCAAAGAGATATATAAACAAAGGGTTCCATGCAACTCTCACTTCCGATTGCCATTCCAGCAAACCTCCCTGAATGGGACCAGAGGAGTGGAAATACATAATACGAACCCGTGTTTATCTATTGTATAAATTATTTAAAGTCAGGGCCTTGTTAGATTCCAGAAGAAAATAATTGAATCCCGTGTTAATCTGCTGCAGCAGAAACAAAAAAAAGGGAGCATCTTGGCACCTGAAAGGCGAATAGATTTATTTTTAAAACAACAAATTGTATCAAAACATCTAAGCAGTCATTATACAAGGAACGATTGTGGTGCTTTAACCCGGGGTCTGATTTTAAACAAATAGACAAAAAAACCCGAACAGAAGAGGCCCATATTCATAGGGAAATAAAATGCATTGGGCACTTTTAAAGTTCCGTCTCCCGGCAATCCTTTCATTTCATATAATTATCCCCCCCCCACCACCACAATGTCCTTTTGCTCACTGAATGAGGATGCTTCTTCATCGGCTGTTGCAATAGAATCAGGGGGTTTGTTTTTAAATGGAAAAAAACTTGGGCTGTTGGTGTAGGAATGTGTGAGTTTAATTTGTTTGTTAATAAGACTTCTAATAGAAATTGTGGGAACTCGGTGCTCCACCACTTTACAATCCAAGTAATACAACTTTCTATCTTTACCATATGCTTTTCAGACAAAATTGGCTGCCAGAGTAACTTCCAGCAACCAAACAGATAATTAAAAATGTAATTTTAAAGGGGGGGGGGGGTCAGTGAGGTCTAGGTTCAACAGACATAGTGCTTCACCCTCCTTGATGCCAGTTAGTAACTCAGTTGTAAGTCGGAACGCATAATTTTGCTTATTAAGAGTTTCGCAGAACTCAAGAAATGTTTTCATCTGAGACATTTCAATTGCACCAGGACTATTTATGTTGTAAGCCGTCTTGAGCTCCATAAGGAGGAAACCCTGCTACCAATAAGCGTTTTAAATAAATGAATGAATAATTCCCAGACCAACATGGCTGCTTAAAATTGTCATCTGAGTTTCTGGTTGGGTAGCCATTTTGGTCTGAAGCAGCAGAACAAAGTTTGAGTCCAGGGGCACCTTTAAGACCGACAAAGTTTTATTCAAGGTATGAGCTTTTGTGTGCAGGCACACTTCTACAGGCACAGTGAAACAGAAGTCACCAACCATTATATATAGGTAGTGGGTGAGGAGGTTGTTGCCAGGTAGAGCTGATTAGAGTCAAGATGCATAAGTAACTGAGCGGTAAATATACTTAAGATAGGACAAAGGCAATTGGTAAGACCTGTGAATAGCAATAAATTAGCATACATTATAATAACAGGGTTAACAAACAGATGCGAGAACTGAATGACGTTAGCATGTGTAGTGAGATAAGAAATCTGTATCTTCGTTATGCTTTAGGGGTTCAATTGTCCGGAGCGTTGTTTCTGTAGGTATTTCCACTGCTCTTCCCACTGTCAGGTACCGGAAGCTGCGTTAAACAATTATTAGGACTGTCTGTAACTCTTTGTTTTAGCAGCCGTTCCCTATCAAGACCCGCCCCTTCCAGGAAAGGGAAAGGAACAGCCGTGCGTGTCTATGGCACCGCAGAGCCACTAGGGGGTGGTGGTAGAGCTTGCCGTTTTTTATCTCCATAAGGGCTAAGGTCTTAATGGTGTTTTAACGTAATTTCCGGTTCCCAATTATATTTGGGAGCAATCTTCGTACGTGGAGTAAGAGCGGTATAAATAAACAGCGACGTAAACATTCAAATGAAGCCCTTAAAGTATAAGAGCCTTAACACCTCTCTTAAAGTGAAGGATTGTTTACAAAAATATAACTTCCTTTTAGAAAAGGGAATGCATCACACTTCCCATCTCAGTCCCAAGACGTCTTTCAGAAATTCATTTTGTATCAACCTTCATGTAATTTATAAATAGTGTATTTGTACTTATCAGAAGTAGAATTGCCAACAAGCCTGGAGGAAAATGCCTTGTTCCCTAGGCATTAATGAATTAATGGGGCCTCCCGAATGGGGCCAAGAGCAGCTTACACAATTCTCCTCCTCCTCCATTTTTATCCTCACAACAGTTCTGCGAGGTAGGTTAGGCGAAGAGGCTGTGACTGGCACAAGCTCACCCAAGGGGTGGGGATTTGAACCTGGGCCTTCCCGAAACTAGGCCAACACTCTTGACCACTACACCAACATGAACATAGGCAGCTGAAGTCTGGTATAAAGGTAAATCACATCACCAGCTAAATAAGGTTCCATTAAGCCTCTCTCTATTTTTTGTATTTTTGTGTGGGTATCTGCTTGCAAGCTTGGAAGTCATAGTGACTTCTGGCAACTTCCAATGGGGCTAGGATGTTTCAAAGAGGTGGCTTCATATGCCTGCCTCTTCGTTCTGGCCCTGGTATCCCTTTGGAGGTCTCCCAAGTCCTTGCCAGGGTCTGCCCTGCTTAGCTTCCAAGACCTGGTGAGATTGGGCTTGCCTGGGCTATCCAGGTCTGGGCCATTAAGCCTCTATTTAAAGGTCAGGACATTTTTCTGCAGGCCTCTTGGCAACCCTAGGACAGTGCCAATTAACTGCCTTGCCTCTACCAATCCATTGTCCAATTCCTACCTGCTCGCAGCTGCACTGACACTTAAGCAGAACTGAAGGAGGAAGAATGTGTCCAGCTATGAATCTGTTCAGCAAGTGCAGCTTTAATGATGTGCATGCCCTCATGGGGGTCTCTCTTGCTCTAGATCCTGGGATGCTACTTCAAAAAGCAATTTCAGTCCAGGAATGCGAGAAATGGTACATACAAGTGATTTACTCCACTGTGTCTCCCACATTGTAGCAAGGTGTGTTTTTTTTGGGGGGGGGTCCCCCCAGAGCATCCATGTGACTTTGTTCCCCAACTGTTCTCCTTCCATCTGCCATTGTGGTTTCCTGTGATGCTTCCCAAACCAGCTTTGTTCTCATCGTTCCGGGAAGATCATAGTCAAAAGTGGATTTGCCCACCATGCAGATGGGAAGGTGTGGATTTTCAGTCCCCGCCCACGTTGGTACCCATTCCCCCTTCATCTCCTCTTGTATCCACCATCCCTCTCCCCTCCCCCACATGTAAAGGCTTTTTGCAGGGTCGTTGTTGCAATAGCTCTATAGCAGAGATGTCAAATTCATTTGTTACGAGGGCCGGATCTGACATAAATGTCACTTTGTTGGCCTGGGCCATGTGTACCATAAAACGTAATGCCAGATACTCGAGATATAAGCTGTATAAAGGAAAGCAGCCTGTAGCTCTGAGTTGGTGTATCCTCACTGCAAGGCCCCCTTGGCTGGGAGGGGGTTGCAAAGGAAAACTCATATTGGTGGAGAACCAGCGGTGCAGCACTGGGCAGATGCTCCCATGCAGCCTGACTGCTGCAGGTGAGGTGGTTCCACCATGCTGAAGTCAGATTTGGAGTGGCTCCCACCCACCCCGAGAAGTCTCCTGTTCCCTCCCCTGCACTAGTGAGCCGCACAAGAGTTCAGGACAGGCCGGTTCCGGCCCCCGAGCCTTATGTTTGACACCCCTGCTCTACAGCATCCTAAGACTGACTATAGCAATATACCAACTATCAGCAAAAAACCCTTCTGGCTGTGTATGGGGTGTGGGAGGGAATATGAGGAAATACCAAGGGAATAGTTGAGAATAACCTCCCCCCCACGAATGCTTGGTTGCAAATACCTTTGTGTTGCAATGACCATGAGTGCACAATGGGGGGTTGTCGCCATGTGGGAGCAGCCTGGATCATCCTGTGGCTTCTGACTGCTCCAATGAACTCTGAGACAGCTTCTACCAAGTATGGGAACTGCTGGAGATGGAGCCTTCTGGACACTCCCCTCCCAGACTAAAGGGCACAGGTCTTAAGCCCACCATTGGAGAAGCTCTTTATACACCAGGTCTCTTGCTCCCGTGGTGCAAATACTTTGCAGAGAACCACACATTTCCCACCAGCAGTCAAAGCAGGAAAGCCACCAACACCCTCTGAATCCTCTGAATCCCAGCACCAGGAGGCAACATTAGGGGAAGGCCTCGGGCTCTATGCTCTGTTGTTGGCCCTCCAGAGAACAGGCTGGCCACTGAGAGCAGGATGCTGGACTAGATGGACCACTGGTCTGATCCAGCAGGACAGTTCTGATGTTCTTATGACAACATTGGCCAGGAGCCCCAGGTGGATGCTTCTCCCTGGTCTCACTGCCCCATCGCCTTGTTGGAGAGAAGGCAGACCACACAAACCACTGTTGCAGTTACCTTTTCCACTATCCCAGTCCTCAGCTCAACCACCCACCTTCTCAGAGTTCACACCTGGTTCTGGCACTCACCCGCCATCCCAAGCCTCCCCAACATGCACTTGCTGCCACTGGCTCTTGCTGAACCCCACCCTGCCACAGTATGCCTTGACTGACCCGCCTGGGCTTCACCCTCTCCACTTTGCAGCCAATGGCCCCCATTCCTTCTTCTGGGCAACTGGTTCATAGCATTCTGCAGGGACCACAGAGAGAGACTGGTCCACCCTTCGGTCTTTATTTAAGAGTGATGCTGGCTGAGGTAAAAGCACTCTCGGTGGGGGGACGGGGGACTTTTGCACAATGCCGCATTTGAACTAGGCCGCTGGGTGTGCCGCTTCCCATGGGTAGTGGTTGAATTCAAACACAAGGCCGTGCTTGTGCAAAGTCCCACAGGGCGGTGGCTCTGCCTTGCCAGCATCATGTTTTAAGTCAGAGAGAAGCGCAGAATCCCTTTTCTTGTGCATTTCTGCACAGCTGTTGTGGCAGCTGTTTTGGCTGAGCACACCATGATGATCACAGCAAAGGAATCTTGCCTCTCCAATCTCCTTACTTCACGGCTCAAGGTGGAGGCAGCCCAGTTCCCGTTACGCCCCAGACCACGCAATGCTAAAGCCACAGAAGGAAGGCAAATCTGGGCACAGCCGGAGACAATTTTTAAACTTTATTTATTTAAAATATTTTAAACCCCCTCCCCTTAGTTTTGCAAATGCAAGGCGGTGGCTACTAAAACAGCAAAGGCTACAAAGCCTTCCCTGCAAGCTGTTGACCTCGTTCGTCACTTCGCTAGGGAGTGAACCTGCACCCCTGAAACGGCACCTTCTCCTCCCCCAGAATCCTGGACAAAGCAATCTTCCCAGTGGAGACAGAGAGGCTCAGGACTCTGAATCCCACGAGCCCCCAATCGATCGAGGAAGAACTCAGGAGCCCTCCTTGGGAAGGGCAGAAAGGCCCAGAGAAGGACGGAGAATAGGGGGCCCAATCGGTTCAGCTTGGAGGTGTGGCTGGAGGTGCAACCTGAAGAACCCTACTTAGCGCTTTCATCTTACCACATGTGCCAACACCTTATATGGGGTCAGACCTTTGGTATATCAAGGTCAGCATCAGGGCTTTTTGGGGGGGGGGGAAGGTGCTGGAACTCCCAAGAGGGAAATGAAGTTTTCAGTCTTTCTTACACGCCCAGGGAAATGCTGATCGCCACTTTGGGGTCAGGAAGCAATTTTGCTCCAAGCCGGTTTGGCCAGGGAGGTTTTTTGCCATCTTCTGGGCCTGGAACAGCGGTCACTACAGGTGTGGAGGGGGAGGTATTTGTGAAATTCCTGCCTTGTGCAGGGGGTGGGACTAGATGACCCTGAAAGTCCCTTCCAACTCTATGATTCAATCTGTATGCTGAAAACTCACGAACTTTTACACATTTTAAAAAGAATTTTGTCAAAGAGGTTCCAGAACTCCATTCCAGCAAGTTCCCCCAGAAAAAAAAGCCCTGGTCAGCTCTCCAGAGTCTCAGGCTGAGTTCTTGCATATTGCCTACTACATCGTCCTTTTGGCTGGGACTGAATCTGGGACCTTCTGCCTGCCAAGCAGATGCTCTACTGCTGCGCCACAGCCCCTGCCGCACTCAGTGTGCTGTTCAGCTCAGCTTCCATCTGGTATGGTAGAGGGAAGGGGTTCTGGGAAAGCACACAGCCTCGACCACCTCTGGTACAAGAAAGCCGGAAGAACCTGGAGCTTGTGTGTACGTCCTGGAGAGACTGCTCTATTTTGAGGTCCCCCACCAGCTCTCTCCATGCTGGTGCTATGACACCCAGGCCTGGCTGTACAGGAGAAAGAGTACTTACCTGAACGGCCTTGCCCCATTGGCTTCCCCATGCCACGTGGGCTGGACTTGAGATCTGACTCTGCTGCCAGGGAATCCGTCAGCCAACTGCAGCTGCCGCTCAGTTCCCCACAGCGCCTTGAGAATCGGGCAGAGGGATCTAAAACAAACCAGGGGGATCAGGAGGGGGCGGCTTGCTTCCGTCTCACAGCCTGCGTCCTTCTGCTTTATTACAGCTCTGAGACCGCCGAGCTTTCAGTTCAGCCAACACACAAGCACAGATGGGCCGTGGCCCACTGTCAAGTGTGCGCAGCGTATTTCCTTCAAAAGATTCCACTGAAAAAGTCGGGGGAGTAACAGGACAGCTAAGTAGCTGGCAGCCAAAAAAGGCACCACCCTCGTCACCTCCAAGGGCCAACATTTAATGCCAGCCTGAAATATGTGACCTTTAGGAGGGTAATACACCTATGTATTCCTTTCCAGCTCATCTCTCAATAGTAGACACATGAAGCTGCCCCATACTGAATCAGACCACTGGTCCATCAGTATTGTCTACGCAGTCAGTATTGCCTACTCAGACTGGCAGTGGCTCTCCAGTGTCCTAGGTTAACTGGAGATGCCAGGGATTGAACCTGGGACCTTCTGTATGCAAAGCAGAGGCTCTTTCATTGAGCCACAGTGGAACATAAAGGCCCTGCTCGATCAGAGCAATCCTCCATTAATCTATCTAGTCCCCTTTTAAAGCTGTTTATTCCTGTGGCCATTACTACATCTTCTGGCAGCAAATTCCACATTTGAATCACTCACCGTGTAAAGTATTTCATTTTGTCCTTCCTGAACCTACTGCCCATCAGCTTCATTGGATGCCCTAGTATTCTGGGAGAGGGAGAAAAATTTCTTTCACTCTCTCCAACTTCCTGTCCTTTTAAATATTGCCCAGAATGAGGCAATTTCAGCTCTGTACTGCTGGGAGAAGCTGGCCCTGCTGAAATGCCCTCAACTAGTGAAAGTATAGGAAGTCCGTTCTTTTCTTTTTTTTAATTAATAACTACTTCTACTGCTGCTCCCTTAGAGCCAAGGGCATGACCCACCTGTGCATCTTGACCCATTAGTTGAAAAGTGGACACACCTCTTAGCCTATCTCCCGAAAGCATCTGATTTGCCATCCTGCACCTAACTTCTTGTGGCCCTTTCTTACACGCCCAGGGAAATGCTGATCATCACTTTTGGGTCAGGAAGCAATTGTTCTCCAGGCCAGTTTGGCCAGGGATCCTGGGAGGTTGGGGTTTTTTGCCCTCTTCTGGGCATAAAGCAGGGATCACTGGGAGTGCGGGGGGGGGGTATTTGTGAACTTCCTGCATTGTGTAGAGGGTTGGACTAGATGACCCTGGAGGTCCCTTCCAACTCTATGATTCTAAAGCATCTTGATGGGCTAATTCTGTTGATTCCCATGTGCTCTTAGAAGGGTGCTGGCCTCCCCCCACCTCCAGCAAAACTTGAGTCTCTTTTGTTCCCCTCACAGGAAGGAAAGTTCTAGTGCCCCCCCCCCCAAATGCCTACCACATAGCTGTGTGGCTAACTACATGACCCCCTTCCAGTAAAACAAACTGGGGCTTTCTTCCCATAACCTTTCCATCCCGGGTGGTGAGGAAGGGAAATGCAGAGGAGTAAGAATCCCATTGGCCAGGCCTCAGAAGTGGCCTCCACCCGCCAGCCCCCACCTTTCTTTCCAGCGCCTACACTAAAGAGAAGGAGGGGGGGAGTGGTCGGAGGCTCCCTCAAGGTGCTTGGAGAAGCTCCACGCTGGTCAGCTGGCCGGTGGCAGAACAGAAGGCGCTGTCTTGCTTCAGGTCAGCTCTGCCCGAGATCCCTTCCCCTTGAGCCTTCCGGACACGGCTGTTCACAGAAAGAGAGTCAATGGGAAAAAAGAGGGTTAAAACACGGGCGCTTGGCACAGGTGGTTTGTAAACCAACCCCAGGCTTTCAAGGCATAGCCAAAAGAGCTGGGAATCCAGCATTCGCACACGAGGCTCACGGCATTTGGCAAAAAAAGGGTCCTGAGCTCCCTGAGCTAGAAACTGGGGTTAGAGACAGCAGCGGAGGCAAGAGAGAGGAGCAGACGATGCTCTTGAGGGAAAGTAGAGGGGAGGGGGAGGACGTTAACGTAGGCGGGGAGGCGTTTCGAATGCCGGGAGCGGGATATGACAGTGGCCGGTCCCCCCCATGCAGAAGGCAGGACGGAGGTCGAAGGCAGGGCAAAGTCGGACAAAGGGGTATAATCCAAGCGACGCTGATTTTACGACGAGACGCGAGAGGTTCTGTAAAAGCCGTTTAATAATCAACAATATTTTAAAAACGGGGAAATAAAAGAGAAACCAAACAAGTTGCGGCGACAAGAACAAACTCTGTTCACCAGTTATACAAAGAAAGGAGTACCCAGGTCATACAGCGAAAGCAAAGGAAGCATCATTGGCTACGGAGCTCGTGGCTCTTCTCGGCTCTGCTCCAGGAACGAGAGCTCGGTTACGCAACACGCAGCAAGCAACGGTTAGCTAGCGGAGTGGGCTGAGGCTGCAAGCGCCCGTCGCTTTGGGCGGGAGAGTTCAAAAACGGACACGTTTTCCTACGAGCAAAATTTTATCTTCGGATTCGGTCGCAAGGCGGGGTTGGCGAGGCGGCTCTTCGAAGCAGGCTTTACGGTAACGACCGGATGAAAACGGGGGTGGGGGGGTGGGGGAGGAAAAAAATAATAAAACGAGGAAAGAGGGGAAGGCAGAGAGGGAGAGGAGGAGCAGTGAACCAAAAGGCAGCATCACCAACCTTCGAAGGAAGCCGATGTTAAAAAACCAGCGCAGGTTAGAGCGTGATCGGCAAAGGGGGGGTCTCAGAGCCATGGCTTCGGTGCTACCTCGCACAAGCACGGAGGGGCCTGCAAAGAAATCTACACCACTTAGATGTACATATTACATATATACACGTACACAGTTTGAACACAACGTGCAGCCCTGCATGTGCAGGCACGCACGGCCAGCAGGGAGATGACCCGTCTACTGCACTTCTGGATACACCTCGTCTCCCGCATTTTTACTGACACAGGGTGGAGAGAGGCCAGAGTGCACTGTTCGGCTTGCTCTGGGCACTGATAGGGCCCCCATGAGTAATTCCTTCTGCCCTCCCCCACCTCGGCCACCTGGCATGCAACCTATGATCACTGAACACTTACTGCGGGGGCGGGCCACGGTCAGAACGTCTGCGCGTACTGGGCAGCGTAGGCACTGGCGTACCTCTCGTAGTATTCCGCCACGTTGTAGGCGGTGCCTATGCTGTACTGGGAGTATGTGGCGGCAGCGGCGGCGGCGGCAGCTGCGTACCCAGGCTGGCTGTAGGCTTGGCTGTATGTTTGGTTGGCGGCGGCGGCGGCAGCAGCTGCCGCAGCAGCATAAGGATCGGTGTACTGGGCCACTACAGCGGTAGGGGTCGCTGTCCGCCTGCCCACGGGGCTTCTTTCCCTGTAGGCAGCTGGGGCGGAGGTTGCAGGGGTAGGCAAGGCCCTGTCATAGGCTGCCCGGGCCCGATCGTAGAGCTCATAGGAGTAGCGGTCGCAATACTCTCTGTCGTACCAGGCCCTGGGGCAGTAGGGGGTGTATGTCGTGGCAGGAGTGGGAATGCGACCCCTAGAGAAGTAGTAGCTCGGGGTTGGGGTTGGTGGGGTGGGTACAGTAGCCCCCTTAGTGGCCCGGAGGGAGCCATTGCTCTTGGAGAGAGTGACGAAGATTTTCTGGTCCTCCAAGGGGGTGTCATTCAGGTTCAAGATGGCATCCATGGCTTCCCGCTCCTTCGCCATGTGCACGAAGGCATAGTTCTTCACGATGTCGCACTCCACCACCTTGCCAAACCTCTCAAAGAGCTGCCTGATCTGGGCAGTGGTGGCCTTGGCGGAAACATTGCCCACGTAGATCTTGGTGGCGTTGCGGATCTTGGAGGTGGCGTACTCCACGGTCAAGTGGGCCCCAAAGAACTCGCTTTTGTGCAGGGAGCTGATGGCCTGGTGCGCCTCGTCCTCTTTCTCCATGTGCACAAAGGCAAAGTTCTTCAGGATGTCACACTCGTTCACCTGGCCATACTGCTCAAACAGCTTGCGCAGTTCTTCGGCCGTGACCACCGGAGACAGGCCCCCAACGAAGATCTTCACCATGGCAACTACGGGGCCCCTGGCCATCCGTGCGTAAAAGCAGGGGGGGGGGTGAATTAGCTCTCGGGATACAATTTAGACCCACCTCCCCTGCCCAGTTCTATTTCTGGCATAGGGTTGCCAACTCTGGGTTTGGAAATATCCTGGAGATTTGAGGATGGTTCCTGGGAGGGTGGGGTTTAGGGAGAAGAGGGCCCTTGGTAGGATATAGGGCCATGTGGTCCAGCTTCCAGAGCAGCCATTTTCTCCAGGAGAGGTGGAATAAATGCTTTAAATAAATACGTGATTTATGTAATCTGGAGACTAAGTGGTCATTCCAAAAGCTCACCAGCCCCCACCTAGGAATTGGCAACCCCCAACTCTGCCCCGTTGCAGGCCACAGCCGTGGCTTTCAGGGCCGCCAAGCCCGTCTCCAGAGAGAGAGAGGAGGAAGCAGCCAGAGCCCAGAGGGGCCCCAGCCCGGCGCCCGCGCATCCTTCCCACGCCAGGGGCCGGGAAGAAGGTTCCCCGCAGCGCCGGCCGCGCAACTCGCCGAGCTCGGCGTTCCCTGCGGCTCCCCTCCTTCCCCTGCGGTGAACCGCCAGGTCCCGGCCCAGGCCCCAGAAAAGGCGGCCGCCGCTCGGGGCCGCTGCTAAGGGCCGGCCAGCGCTGCGATCTCCTTCCCTCCTCCCGCGGCGGGCCCCTCACCTGCACAGCACGGCCGGTCTCCTGCTCGGCGCGCCACGCGATGCGCCCACCTTGCCTGGCTCGCTCGCCTAGGCCTGCGCCATGTTCTCTGGCTGCATCATGTGATGATGGGAGGGGGCCGAAAGCCCCCAAGTGGCGGAGTCGGGACGAGGGAAGCGCCTCTCGCTCTGGGCACAGAGCCAGCGGCGCTCAGCGGGCTCTCCGCAGGGAGTCGAGCTCGGTGCAGGCTGCCGGGCGCCGCCGAGTGCGCTTTGGCGAGGGACGCTCCGCTGGTCCGGCGTCCACGACGAGGCGATGCTATGGCGCAGCAGGTCCAGGCCTGGCCTGAGGGGGGGGGGGATGCCGCCCTAGTGTGGAGAGGCTGGGGAAATGGAGGCCGCCCGGCTGTTCCTTCCCTGGCCTCCTCGGAGCTGCGCAAAAGTGCCCGGCCACAAAGAGGGAGGGTCGCTCTGCCCACTGGCGGCGACACGCGGTCAAGTCAGCCTTCTTTCCCGGGACGCACAGCCCCACCCCCCCTCTCCCGGATAACTAAGGGATGCTCAGAGCCCCAGTGGAGGGCTCCTGCCAGGAAAGCCAAGAGTGGATAATGAAATCTAGATAATATCCATTTATTCTAGTATCTGAGTTTCCCAGTATTTGCTACCCACTAGGGATACACAGACACATGACACTGCCTTGATCAGTAGAACAAAGTCTGAGTCCAGTGGCACCTTTAAGAGCAACAAAGTTTAATTCTGGGTCTAAGCTTTCGTGCATGCACACTTCTTCAGATCTGAAGAAGTGTGCATGCACGAAAGCTTAGACCCAGAATTAAACTTTGTTGTTCTTAAAGGTGCCACTGGACTCAAACTTTGTTCTATTGCATCAAACCAACACAGCGACTCACCTGAAGTTATACTGAATCAGAACAATGGTCCATCACGGTCAGGCCTGGATTAAGGCCAACTGTTGCCCTAAACACAGCCAGACAATGGTGCCCCTTGGCCCTTCCATTGCTTAACTGATAAGACATTAAGACTCAACAAGTGCTGAAAGTGAAATAAGAGATTACCCAACTTCAGTTTTCTTCCAGGCCAGACCCCACAACTATATTAAATATAAACATTTTTTAAAAATTAACACTAAAAAGCAGTCGAGTGTGGCAGTGAAAGAGTTAAGTGCATGATAGCTAGGGGGAAACTGTGGTACCCCCCCCTTCCCTTAGGGCCCCAAGCATGTGTTTATTTTGCTTAATGGTTAATCCAGGACTCTGAGTGGCTGAGTCTACCATGAGTGGCTGAAACTCTCCAGGGTCTTATGCAGAGGTATTTCACATCACCTAATGCCTTTTAACTGGAGACACTGGGGACTGAACCTGGGTCCTTCTGGATGCCAAGCAGATGCTCTACCACAGAGCCACAGCTAACATCAGTCAACAGGTGACATTGTGAGATCTTAACCATCTCCCGGGAGAGGAGCAGGCAGACTGCCCTCAAAATGTAATTAACTTCATATTTTAATTTAAAAAGTTGGGTGTGATTACAGAAGGTAATGTTCTTCCGTTTGAGGCAATGGGGACTGAAACTGCTGCTCTGGTGGCCCTTTTGTCAATTCCCCCCCACACAACCAAAGACACTGAAGTGCTGATCTGCTATCACCCAAATGAGAAATCCCAAACAGAGCAAGAGAGTTCCAGGCATAGGGGTGGTTTACAATAAAGCAAAATGCAGCCACTCTGAAAGTGCGTCTACCAGCCAGGGATTCTGCTCCATGCACACACCATCTAGTACAGTGATGGTGAACCTTTTAGAGACCGAGTGCCCAAACTGCAACCCAAAACCCACTTATTTATCGCAAAGTGCCAACACGGCAATTTAACCTGACTGAGGTTTTACTTTAGAAAAAAAAACAACTCATACATTAACATAAGATGATCCAAACAAAGTAATGAAAGCAATCCCAAATGCTTTCATTTACTTAAAATTATTTGGCAGAGAATTCCACACTTAAATGACGGTCTGGGCCTGGCTGGGGCGATGGCACACGTGCCCACTGAGAGGGCTCTGAGTGCCGCCTCTGGCACCCATGCCACATGTTCGCCACCACTGCTCTAGCACCCTGCCGAGAGCTGTTCCCATTGAAAGGGATGTGCCAGTGTTGGAAGTTCCAGATGCAATGTCCCCTGTCTCAGACCTCCAGACTGAGTGGCAAGAGAGGCTTGATAGCTAGGTAGGCACACTGACCTTTCTTCCTGTATTTACTCTTCTATATCTACTCTTCTACTTTTTGATATCCAGATTGTAATCTCAGGGACCAATTCCCCTTTCCTACTTCTCTCTCACTCTGAATGAAGACTTGTTCCCTACCTGCACGCACCAAGAGAGGGACACGCTGTCTTCTCTTGGCACCGTGAGGCAGATGGGCCTCTCGCCATCTGCCTCCATCCTTTAGCTAGTAAATTAGTAATCTATCACGCCGAGTCGTAAGTAACAATGAAATCAGCTTTATTAATAACAGGAACATCAGAAGAACACACAACAACAAACAGTAGAGCATAGCTCCCTTTTAAACTATCCCGGGCTGATGTAGCCACACCCTAGAATAGTTAAGGACCAGTAGCATTGTAAAGATAACAACCAATCAGATTTGTTCCCTCCAGCACAGTTCTCTGACTTCTGATTGGTTACAATTATACATTAGCCAATAGGATTGTTCCATCTTAGAATCCTGGCTAAGGTCTCAAGCTTAACATGACATTTAATACAGTGAAGACATAACAATTCCTCCCCCCTAAGATGGAACAATACCGGGACAGACATAATCTCTAAGATAGGAGGGTGACCTTCCAATGGGTTCAGGTTTGGGTGGTGACAAGGTTTCGGGGGCCCTGGATGACTCACTGTCCAGTGAGTCTGGATAGCCGGTATCCAAGGGATCAAATTCCTGAGTTGGGGATTGCCCATCCTCAGGTTCTATGTGGGCCTCTGCAACACTCACCTCCTCATCTGGAGGCCCTCGTTGTTCACCTTCTGGGTGAGGGATCGTGTCAGGTTCAGTGCTGGACTCGAGTCTGGAGTCAGCCCACCTCTGCCTGAGCTGATCTATGTGGTGCTGCAGTTTCCTGCCGTCTGCTAGCTGCGCCACATACATATGGGAACCCAGAACGTTTGTGATTATGGCGGGAAGCCATAAGTGTCTCTCTCCGTAATTGCGCGTGAAAACCTTGTCAGTTGGTTTCAATGTGTGTGGCATTTCCAGGACCTCAGCTCTGGGGGATCGGGTCTCTGTCAAGTCCAGATGGAGCCTATCTAGCAGTGTGGTAAGCCTGCGGCCCATCAGGAGCTCAACTGGGCTCCTTCCTGTAGCAGTACAGGGCGTGATGTGTTGTCTGAGCAGAAATGAAGCTAACTTCTGCCCCCAGTCACCCTGACCCATTCTCTTAAGTGCTTCCTTAGTTGTCTAAACCATCCGTTCGGCTTGCCCGTTTGTGGCAGGATGGAACGGTGCAGACATTACATGCTGTAATGATTCCTTGTTTTATGTGTGTGTGTGTCTCTTTAAAAGTTTGATTGCATGGCTGAGATATATTAGAGTGGTTGAAGAGACAAGAGTGGTGTGATTGGTGATTGACAGAGAGGGGGAGGGGTTTTGGAAGTGTTTCTGAGTGGATGAATAGGTATGTCTGTCAAGAGTGACAGTTAGAGGTTTGACAGTTGATGAAGACAGTTGATAAGTTTTTAGTTAGTTCTGAAGTCTGGGAGAGAAGCAGTCTTGTGTGTGATATAGGAGCTAGTTCTGTGTATGGAAAAAAGTTGAATGTATATGAAACAGTAAAGTTTAAGAGAACAGAAATTATATGAAAGTCTGAGTGGCAGACTGGAGGGAAACAAGAAACGTAGATGATCTTGAGTTAAAGGGTTACAAAGTTACCTGATAAATCCCTGTAGAGGAAGGGAGCAGTGCTTGTGTGAAACCAAACAATTTATCAGAATATTCACATTACCAGTTACTTTGTTATACCTTTTTATTTATGAAGTATTTCAATAAATCTACTTTTATTTAAACATACCAGCTGAAAGGAATCCTTCCTCAGGAACACTTAGTACCTTGAAAAGCCTTAAACTTGACCTACCTACCCAGTAATAGAAACAGTATAGTATAAAGGTTTGGAAAGCCTTAAATTTCCTGGTGGCAGCCGGATATCCCCAATATAACAAAATAAAAAGAACACTTTTAAAGTGAAACCAGGCCTCCCCAGATAAGGGGTCGTCACACATGCCATATAAGTATGTCCTCTAGAAACTTGGCAAACTCCGTAGAGGTAAATTGGGCCCCGTTGTCGGACACCGTCCGGTAGCCCATGGGTGACAAAGACCCGGCGCAACATATTAATCACAGCATGTGATGTCGTTGAATGCATATTTACAACTTCAAGCCATTTAGAAAATGAATCTACAATAATAAAAAATGTTTGGCCTTGAAACGGCTCTGCGAAATCGACATGAAGTCGAGACCATGGCTTGTGAGTGCTCTCCCAGTGCTAAATGGGAGCCTGAGGAGTGTCTGGTCGCGATTGCTGGCAACCCATACAGTTCGTCACCCACTCCTCAATGTCCGCATCAAGCTTAGGCCACCAGACATAGCTGCGTGCGAGTGCTTTCATGTGCACTATGCCTGGATGGCCATTGTGGAGAGCTTCCAGGACCCTCTCCCTAAGATTAAGAGGTACCACCACCCGGTTCCCCCACAGTAAACATCCCTTCAGTTTGCTGTGAACTATACGGCCAAAACTCCGGTTCAAAACGACCTGCCGGCCACCCCCTCCAAACCCAGTTAAGGACTCAGGACAGAACAGAGTTCTTAGCTGAAGCAGCAGCAATGTCCAAGGAGTGGACCGGAGGCTGAGGCAGTTCGTCAATGGCCAAGACTTTAAAGGCGGGAGCAGGATCAACGTCCATTTGGGGCAGAGGGCAATGGCTGAGAGCATCTGCATGTCTGATAGCCTTGCCCGGTCAGTGCTCTAAATCAAAGTCATAAGCTGAAAGAAAAATGGCCCACCA